TGAGTTACTTTTGGTTTTTCTCTCATAAATCTATAGCTTAGGGTTTACGTGTCATAGGTTTGGGTTTTTTCTTTATAAAAATTATGTCAGTATTCGTTTATTTTAAAATACACACAAAATTAATAATATACATGCATAAATCCCAAAAATCATAATCTAGGTTCAGAATAAGAAATACTTATAATTCTTTGCGCAACAACCTTCCCAGATCTGCTTGAATGTTTTAATTCACTGTACTCACATGACACAGGTTGTAATACAATTTAAATACTAAACAGAAACTAAGTTCAATTGAAATTACGGGTTTCAATGACAACCCGATGAGATGCTCGGCTCACCGCATAAGTAGCAATCCGCTCCCTTACAATCCTGATTCTCAAACTCGAAAATATCAGGTTTCATACCTAAGGAAGACTCTTCGACTTCACAAGTGGGTGAATCAGGTTCCCATACTCGAGGAAAATCCTTCAGCTTTTCGAGTGGGTGGATCGAGTTCCCATACTAAAGAAAGACCCTTCGACTTTTCGAGTCGGTAGATCGAGTCCCCATACTAGAGGAAAACCCCTCGGTTTCCGAGTGGGTGGGTATCCCAACCGAACTCGCGTGGCTAACTTGACACTAACCGCCCGCCCCTATCACCCAACAGCCAACCAAACACCAAAAAAAAAAACTTACCTACCTAGTATGGTGCGATTCGGCCTTGGTTCAATTCTGGATAATCTTATCGGCTACTTTACGACTCTCCTTCCTCGCTTGGGATTTGGATGACAAATTTCATGTCTATAAATCAGTTAATATGAAATAGGAAAAGAATTGAAGAAAAATAAAGATTAAAAGATGAAAAATGATGAATGTTTACCTTATTTGCTTCGGTTTCTGCCGTCCCATGGTGTTCTTCGACCCGATTTCCCTTCATTTTTCTTCTTTTCAGCTTTGGCTTTCACAACTCTCCCACCTCCACCACTCTTTTTTCTTTTCTTCCCTTGCGGCGGTCGTTCTCGGCTCTTTCTTTCACTCTCCCACTCGGCTACACTTCTCATTCTCTCCCTTCTTTTTCTCTGGCCTGCTCTCTTTCACTCGATCGACTCTCTCATTTTCCCTCTCAATTTTTGGCTTATTCTCTCAAAATAAAGAAAAACCCTAATCTCTTACCTTATATACCCGTCTTCCTGACCGTTGGATCTAACAAGGCTCGATCTGGGCCGTTTATTCTCAATAAAACCTCAACCGTTGGATATCTTCAGACGGTTCGATCAAGACCGTCCATTTTCTGATTTCTTTTGCCTCCTTCCACTTCCATTCATTTATGCTTTCACCCCTCTTTTTCTTACCTGTTTTTACTTAAGTCTTTGAAATTAAATAGAAACTCCAAATTTGTAATATTCCTTTCATTTAAATTATTATTTCAATTTATTTATTTATTTACATTTTTTTATATGATTTAGGGTTGGATGTTATAATTCTCTCAATCTTATAAAAATTTGGTCCTTTAAATTTGATATATCTCTAAAGAAAGTGAGAATATCGAGCTTGTATCGAGTTCTCAGTGTCTCAAGTAGCTCCAATATGTCTATGGTAAATGATGTTGCCAAAGTACTTTGATCATCGAAATAGTCTCTTTCCTCAATACTCGCTCTTGTTTATCCAATATGTCTATGGGTATCTCTTGATAAGACATATTTTTTTTCAATAGAAATATCTTCATACTGAATTACATGTGACAGATCAAGATGATATTTGCGTAGTATGGATACATGAAACACATCATGGACGTTAGTCAACTCTGGTGGCAATGCAAGTCGGTAAGCAGTAGTCCTAACTTTTTTTAGTATTTCGAACGATCCAAGGAAGTTAGGACTCAAATTGTCTTTCTTTTCAAATCTCATAAGGCTTTTCATTGGTGACACCCTTAAGAATACATGATCCATGTTCTCAAATTATAAGCTCTTTTTATAGTTGCCTGCATAATTCTTCTGTCTACTTTGAGCAGTTTGAAGATTTTTCTTAATTAGAACAATCTTTGATATAGTTTCTTTAACTAATTTGGGTCCAATTAATTTCATGTCTCCAATCTCTTCTCAACATATAGGATATCTACGGGGTATGCCATAAATTTCTTCATATAAATCTGCATTGATATTGGACTGATAACTGTTATTATAGGCAAATTCGATTAATGGTATGTGATCATTCCAATTTCACATTGTAAGAGGATTAAGTCTCATAAACTTCCTATGACAATCTGGATCCATAACGGATGGATCTGGATTATGTGGAATTGGTACTGAGGGAGGACCAGGTATTCATTCCCTAAGCTGATTAACAAACTCCTCCACCACTCTCTCTTCTTTTCTTCCCTTGTAATTGACGTTCTCGGCTCTTCCTTTCACTCTCCCACTTGGCTACGCTTCTCCTTCTCTTCTTTCCTCTTCTTCGACCTTCTCTCTCTCACTCAATTGACTCTCTCTTTCTCGCTCTCAATTTTTGACTTCTCCTCTCAAAATGACAAAAAATCCTAATCTCTTACTTTATATACCCGTCTCCCTAGTCGTTGGATCTCACAAAGCTCGATTTGGGCAGATTATCCTTAATAAAACCTCAGCCCTTGGATCTTCTCAGACAGTTCGATCAGGACTGTC